GGTCTGTAGTCGAGAAGATTTTGTCTGTAATTCCACATGACAATTCCACGACTTGCCATATATGCGAGATTGGCTTAAATTATTATATATTTTTATTTCCAATTTATTTGTTTTTTTTATAATTAAAATTATTCCTTAATTTATTTACTATTATATTTATTTTTATTTATTTATTATTTATTATTTACTTATTCTATTTTTTTTTTACCTAGTTATTTTTTAATTAAAAATTATTAAGATCTTTTTATTTTTTTATATTTATTCTTATTTATTTTTATATTTTTATATTATTTTCTTTTAAAAAATAGGCTATTTTAAATTGATACCATAAAGAATTTATTAATGTTTATTGATATTTAATAATAACATCATTGTTGTTATTAAATTATTAAAAAAATATTTATAGATTATGATAGAATAGATAACTTGATTTGATTTTCATTGATTACTTCTACTTTATTTTTATTAATTCATTTTATTTTATTTCTTGCTGATTTATTTTTTTGTATTATGGTAATAAGATTTAATTAGTTAAAGTATAGATATGGATCTTTTTTTAGAAGTAGCAGACTAATTTCAATTTTTTGAATACCGATAATATAATTTTATCATATAATTTATTTGAAAGATAAAAAATTTTAAAAAATAATAATACACGTGTATAAATGAATAGATTCAAATAAATAAATAAATTTGACCATTTTCGTTATTTTACAATTTATTCAATGATTCAAATTATAAAAATTATTGGTATTTTTTAGAAAAAAATCAATGTTTCGTTGTCTTTGTTAAAATAAATACCTTATATGTAAGTTCTATCAAGCGTCAAATTTTCGATTTCTCCAATTATATTCGATCACCATTTCTCATTTAATGGTCAAGAAATCTTTAAACAATTATCATTTCAAATAATTTTTTGGCATTTATTGTTTTTAGATTAATTTATTACAAAAATGTACACATACCTGTGTATTCGATAGGTACAATATGTTGGTTTTTTTTTTAAAAAAAAAAAAATAAATTTTTTATTTGTTTGTCAAATAATTGTTTAAATCAAAAATAGATAGATAATATACAAAATATCAAACAATAAACGCATAACTTTATACAATAACAAATAGAAAAAAATCAAATCACCCGAATATAGCATAGCAAAATTTAGATAAGATTCATCAAGAATCTTATCATCGGAACAAGTTCGTTATGCAAAACATATGGTATATAAAAAATTAGAAGGAAATTGAAGCCAAACTACTTCAAATCCGTTATCTCTCAATAAAGAATAATGCACCCCCTCTTCTAAAACCAAATGACAGGCTTTAAATATAACCTAAAAGTTTGATTTGGTCGAGTCGACTCCCGTATTTTATTCACAGTATCCCTGTTATATAGTTTACTGTTCTTGTCACCTTATAATAAACCGAGAATGGGGCTACGGGTAGTGAATTCCGCAAATTCATCTTACCATTATAATTGAAAAATTTCACTTGGATAGTTGCATTGATATATCTTTTTTTTGCGAAATTTCAAAAATATCGATGAATATATAATATCTATTTTCTATGATACGCATAAATTTTTAAGATGCAAAAGAGAAGTCGCAAAAAAAGATATTACGCATAAATTAATAATAATACATATAAGTCAACTGAACCACCAGGGTATGTTGGAAAGACAAGGGAAAATACAGAAATGTAATGAAAATGGGAATGGCGGCATTAATGTGAACATTACTTTTGTGAATGACAAGAGACAAATAGAATAAATTTGAAAAATAACCATCGGTTCTCGACAAAAATCCAATGTAAGATATAGTGAATGTTCTATGTAACGATGAAAGAAAGTATGCATAGTTTCAGGTGCGAAAGGATCGGATTATAGTAACTTTGATTAGCCTAAATTAAACACAATAATATAAAGTTGCACACACAAAAAAAAAAATTAAAAAATCCATTTGTAATTAATCTTATAACTCACACCGCAGACCCAACCGATCAACCATCAATTATCGATTTCTGTGATATTGGTCCAATGTACTTTGGAAAGGATTTCCAGGAGCAAATCCTCCTTGACCGTCCCTGAGCACAACTTCACCCTCTTCATCCCAATCTGATGATGCTCTAGACTTTTGATAACGATATAGTACTATGGATATCCCTCCTAATATAACTATACCACCAACAACGCCAGCAGCAATTGCAATAGTCTTTGTGGTCGATGCAGGAACATCAATCTGAGGTGAGCTAGTATTGCTGTTACCAGGCGAATTTGGATTAGGAGTACCAGTGGCGGATGACCCGGTCCCAGTAGGATGGACTGTAAATGTGCTTGTGTAAGTGACAACAGGTGCGGAAGTGGGAGGGCTAACATCTGGAATAGTTCCTGAAGGAGGTTGTGCTGCAGAGGATGGGGTATTACTCGGGTCGGCACTACTTGCCGCGGAAGAGGCACTCGTAGGAGCGTCAGATGATTGTTGTTGCTGAGTGCTCGAAGTTGGTGTGGTTCCGGAGCTTTGTGAAGTGGGTGCAGCTGCTTGTGAGGACGACTCAGGTGGCTTACTTGACGTCGGTATAGGTTTCTGTGAAACCGAAGGAGATTCACCTGCACTCCCCGTCGTAGCAGCAAGTGCACTCAACCTTTCATTTTGTGAAGAGGTAAATAGTAAAGAAATGGCAAAGAATATGACGAGTGTCGATAACTTCATAATTGTGTTTATTATGTCAGGTTGAAATTTGCCAAAGTTACAATAATCTATTTGAGGGAGGGATAGAGGGAAATAATGGAGGGGGGCAACAAAAAGAAAAGTGGAGCAAGTCTGAAACCGTCCGGCAATAACACAATTATAGTATTCCTTGTATTACGCTATTTTCGGTACGCATGGTAGCAGTTGTCATGTGCAACAATAAAGAACCCACTTTGTGATTTCCCAAATGGGATCGGGAAAGTGGGACAGCTCATTATTAGTACATTCTAAGTTTCTTAACAATTTCATACTTAATTCCCCAATATCTGGATTTCAATTAACATGACAGTTACACCACATCGCACTCAATGCTATTTTTGGAAATGCCTTTAGATGATGAAATGATTGATTTTAACAACAAGATTGTATAAATAACCCTTTTCAACGCAAGGAAAATTCTTAAAAAAAAGAAATCAACGTTTTTCACATCGATTAGAAAAAAAAAAACGATCAGTCATGAACATCATTCAAATCCTCACAACGCCCTTTCATTCGAGTACATCGACGAGTCTGACAACAACCCCTCCCTTGATCAAGGCACTACAACAATCCTCTTCACCTACCATCACCAAACCGCCTGAAGTTAAGCATCGGTATCACAAAGTTCCAATTCAAGTAGACGGCTCTCGTCCTCAATTTTATGATTTTCCGTTAGGTTCATACCCCGATCTTCGACGACAATATTTGAGTCCTTTTCCACTTAATGCCAATATAATAATAGTGTAAATACGAAAAGTAGTCATAATGAAAATAACTTTAATTATAATCATAATAATATCTTCTTTTTTAAGAACGTAATTCTTACTTTCTTTAAAAAGAAAACTCCAGAGGAGGCAAATTTCATCATAGATCATTCGTCTATCAATTCGATACAGAAAGTTTCTATAAATAGAATTAGCTAATCTTTTTTTGATAGTAATATTTATGTCTATATATGGAAATCGCACGTGTATTGGTCATTATATGACGTACGTGAGCATGTTCTTTCACCATTTTAAATTTTGATAAATTGCTCTTCCCCCGGAGAATTGCATGAGTGCCAAAGGTTATCATGCTTAAGAATCGTGTAACTGCGACCCTTCAATCACAGGTCATAAGAACATGCCCTTAAACCCTGTAAATTCTCTTCTGAACTTTCCCACGAACCCGCTTTCTATTATGGTAAAAGGGAGGACTACTCCCTTACAAAAATTGCTCCCCGACCCCCCGAAGGAGGTCGTGGAGACGAGGTATTGGTATAGTTTGCAATTAGCAATAATCTGGCCTCGGATAAATCCTCACTGGCGCAAATAATGCCCGTGCACAAAGGTGAAGAAACTGGTACGGGGGTGGGCATAAGGTCTATTTATAATTTTCTGTCAAATGTGGGATTTGATAGCAGTTCGATAGTCGTGTAACAGTCACATCATAGTCATGTGATTAAATTATGATACGTCCGAGTTGACCCATTTACATTTTTTTTTACGCAATTTAAATATCCGGCCAAGACACATTTTTCATCGACATATCATATTCTTCGCATGAACTGTCAATCCATTCTCTAGCCTCTAACCAAAACCAAAACTTCATCCACCACATTCCACCTCTTTCAATATCCTTAATTCCCTCCCGAAGCCCTTTACCTCCTTCCTGTGCCCCTAACTTTCTCAATATTGGCAATGCGTTTCTCAACAGATCCAATTGTGAATCCAATTGCCTACCGATACCTTCTAATAATAATATTGATATTATTATATTGATGAAGTCACCTTCTAATTTCACATGGTGAGTTCTAACCATTTTAAACACTTCGGTCAATAGATCTGATATTCGGATTTTACCAAGTTGCAACGTTAACGCCCTCACGTTCAGCACCAGATGCTGCATTTTCAATGCAAATAATTCTCCATCAATCACAAGATGCGGTGTTTTACACCTTTCCATCATTAACTTTCCTGCTCGGTATCCGTCGAACTCCGTTATTGCTCTGAATAAATCTAGAAAGTTCCTTCGATTCTCCACATTTAAACCTGTTACCAATCCTGTATCGATAAATATTAATCGCGGCAGATATCCTTCATTACTTAATTTCGTCAATTCTTCATTCAATAATTCTTTGTTGCCAGCATGCCTCATCAGACGCGCATAGGCTATCCTTGAGTCATCATCACCTATCATGTCCTTCTTGTCCACAAACTGAAATTCCATTTTTGACATCCCCGATGTTGTAGGGATGAAATCGATCAGGAGACGTCGAATATAAGTAAGCAGGTTGGGTCTTCGAAATTTAACCATGATATTTCCAGGATGTAAATCAGCATGGACAAAATTGTCAAATATTAGCATATGCTAATAATGTTGAGGTCCGTAATTATAGCATGCATATGTAAATCAAAATGAATTAATGAGTTCACGAGAAACATTAGAAATTTAAGCTTATGCTCAGTAATATCTTACAAGAAACGCGTCAAGTCCTGAGTTAATTGGCATGTTAGTATATTATTTGAAGAGATCGATGGTTAAGAAAAATGAGATAACGAAAATTACCAATGTTTGCAATCATGTGATCGTAAATCCCTTTTTCTTCGCCTTCAAGAAATAATTTAATCGGTAATCCTTCCTCAAATTCCTCTATCAGTACATTTTTGGTGGTATACTCTGTAAATGGCTTTGGAAACTCCACTGATCCGCGATTTTTAAAATTCTCTCGGAAAATCAATAAATTATTCGCCTCTTTGCGAAGATCCAACTGCTCCTGCATCATCTCGGAAAATTTCATTACCTCCTCCGGCAGGGATAGCCATCGCATCGTTGGTAATGCATCCAGTATTCTAGAAAATATCATCAATATCTTGAGATCCCTTTGAATGGTTTTTTCGGCTTTTGGATGTAATACTTTAACGGCTACTGTCGGCATCACTGGTTCGTCCTGATCCTGAGACATAAGATTATTGGTATCATATGATGCTGAAAGTGCCTCAGGTCGCATTGTTGCTTTGTACACCTAGAGATCGGCGTTTGAAAATTGCTTTCAAATATTCTCCACAGTTTAAAGAATATGTGCACTAACGTGATTTACCTGCGCGATCGCTCCGACTCCAATTGGGCACTTTTCGATTTCAGAAAATATTTCGTAAAATGACTTTCCGAATTCCCTTTCTATGATTTTCTTCGTATCCTCAAATGAATGTGGATTCACGTCAGAATGAAGTTTCGACAAGCGGCTGCACATCTCGCGAGGAAATATATCGGTTCTAGAAGCCGCCCATTGTGCAAGCTATAGATATATGAACGTGAAATAAGATGACGACCAACGATAGTAAATAAGAAAAATGATACCCACTCGTGTCATTAACCATACCTTGATAAAAGTTGGTCCCGAATTTTCCATCTGTCTCACCAGAACATCATACCACCACAATGCTCCCATTCGTTCATTTTCACATTCCGCAATTCTTGGTCCAATGAAAAGTGCGGGTGCTCCGATTATCAAAGGTAAAAAGAGTATTAACAAATAAGTGAACCTATATGCAATGAGGATTGGTTCGATGACATAATCTGAAAGAACTTTGATTATGTTATCCAAAAAGTATCTCAATTTACTCTTTCGAGGACGCGATTGCGTGTGTTTTTCCGACATTTTTTTCGCATATTGAACATGTTCTGTTGGCGAGATCTTTTCATTCTCCAACGAAAAAACGGCAAACACGCATCGAAGGTGTGAGGAATTTAAAAAGGACAATGGACCTTTATAAGAATTGTTGGGTTTCCGCGCTGCCAAGACTTCTTTCGTTTCCTTCCACGAAAACCGTTTTACGAATCCTGCATTTCTGGGAAAAGTGAGATCTTGTAAAGAACTTTGTATGTTCGAGGTAATCGTCCGAGATCTTGGGCAAAATTTTCGCGTGGTAAATAATGTCCTCCTTTGGAACAAGGTTCTCGATGACCTGCCATCGACGATCGTGATAATTGCTCTTAAATTCATTAAATTCGGTTCGGTAAGGATTTGTTCTTTCAAGAATTCCGTCCAAATTTAAACCTTTTTTTTCCGCTGACAACCTCATTTTACAATAAATCGCATTTACCAAAATCACCATCTCGTCATCATAATCAAAATTTAACTGATTTGCATTGCATAATAAAAGTAATCGTTTGTTCACTCGTGAACTTTTTTTATTATTTAAATAGGTAAATAATATTTTTTTTATTTATAAATATATTATATAATATACTGTACGTACTGTATATTTAAAAAAACATTATTTTTTAAAACTTATATTAATTTATAGCACAATAACAATGTTTTATAGGTTGTTAAGAAAAGGTTTAGAATTCAAAATAGAATCAACTTATAATAATTCATTTTATTAAACTCATAATAAATTTAATATTGATTTAATACTAAAATAGTATCTAGTTTAAACCTATCTGATTATAAAAATTTATTATATTTAGGATTTTCAATACATGTTATATTCAATTATTTATATTTATATTTATAAAAAGTTAGGTTGCATAAAAATAAAAGGATTTATAACCTTTTAATAATTATATTAGTTTAAATTAGATTATTTAACTATTGAATTACAATCAATTAAAATTAAATTTTATTAATAAACATTTATATCAAAGTTTTATTGTTTAATTTAATTTATATTATTTAATATTTAAAAAATATATTTCTTAAATTGTATTGCAGACAAATTATTTGTAAAATTAAATAATATTAATATTTTTTAAATAAAACAATAATTTATTAATAATACAGGATATATTTATTTTATAAAAATATTTTTAGGAATCTATTTTATAAACTTTATTATAAAAATTTTAAAAATTATTAATAAACTTTTTAAATAATAAAAATTTTTATTTTTATTTACAAATTTATATTATAAAAACTTTTAAGTTTTATAATTTTATAGATTTTTAAAAATAAATAATTTTTTTATTCTTAATATAAATTCAAATTTTTACAATTAAGTTACAAAAATATAATAATAAAAATAATTATTTTTTATTTTTATTTTTATAATCAAACAAGTATTTATTATATTTATTTAATCATTAAAATTAAAAATATACTAATACAAAACTTTTATATATAAATTAAACTAATACTTAAATATTTATTATTGATTATTTATCTCTAGACATAATTTTGAAAATGAATAAAGTTATTTTTTTCTTCTTCTCTATTTCTTAAGGATTTAAGTTTATTGTTTACAATTTATTACTATAGTTTAGAGTTTCAAATTAAGTATCAAAATAGTATCAACTTGATATTGACTTATAATAAATTTAATATAGAACTTCAAATGAACCAAGTTAAATCAAGTTTTGTTTAAGTTCAAATTTGACTTACTATTAAAATAAAAAACCTAATTTAATTAAATTTTATTAAAGTATAATTTGGACTTGACTTGTATTATATTATATATATTAATTTTATTAATAATTAGTTTTATTATTATTATTTTTTTAGCATCTAATCAGACTACAAATAAAAGCATTTATTAATCTAATTTTGGAGAACAGTAATACAATACACATAATATTATATTAAAGCTAAACTAGTATAATTTACAGAATACTTATTAATAAATTTAAATTTGTACTAAATCTGAACTTTCTAAATATGATTACAAAAAATAATAATATTACTTCTTTTCAAGACAAGGTATCAGAAGTCTATATTTTGAAAGATTAATGCCAATCTATATTTAAATTGTCACCTCAATACAAATTTGTGGTCTTAAAAAATAAAAAATGAAAAAAAAAAGATTTATATTGATAAAACAAAAACTCTTCTTGGCTACTATCTAGTTTAACCACTTGCAGTTGGAGAATTATTTAATTTTACTATTCTATTGTTGATCAAGAATATTTAAGAGTACTTCTAGAAAAATATTTCTTGAAACTTTATACTCAAAAATTTTTAACCTTTAGAGAGGATTGGTATTTCAATTGACAATTTCTCTTTTAACCAAATCTCCAAGAATTTATAGTTTCATTCAATTAATAAATAGTTTCAAGATCCCTTCTCTATCTATTTTTAGTATAATTAATAATAGAACTAGTTTATTATTTGATTGGAATAAAACTTTTCTTTAATCTTGAAGAGAAACAAAACCAGTTCAAGAAAAAAGTAAGAAAGTATCAAATTACTTCTTTTGTCAAAAAATATGTCTTATTACTAGGAATTATAATTTTTATTTGAATTCGAATGATTTGCAAATAAAATACAAATTGGATCGAATCGAATTTTAAAATTTTTAATTCAATTAGATTTAAATCAAATCAAATTTTTAATTTTTAAATTCAGTTGGATACAAATCAAATTCAGATTAGATATAGCTTAGTTTATTCTTTAAATTATAGAATATTTTTTTTATAATATTTAAAATTTTTTAACTAAAAGGTTTCTTTTCATTTATTTTTTTAAATATATAATTAAAATATTTTTCTAAAAATTTATATAATATTAGTTTTAATTATATACTATTTATTGATGGTATTTATTTTTTATTTATTTAATAAATATTTAGAGTTTAGTTATAAAAAAAATTTTTTTTAATAAAAGTTGATCTTAAACAAACTTAAAAAATTTTTAAATTAAAGTTTATATAATTATAATCAGTTTTGTAAAATTAT